AAGACACAGATCATGTTGGACTACCCCATTCCTCTCGATGACTCTATTTCCAACAAAGTCACATTTTTGAGGTAGTTCCAAATAGTTTGAGGGGACATAAACTCAACACATGACTCTCTAGGATAGAGACAGTAGTTGAAGCCATGAGACTGGAGATGGCCACTTCCCTGGCCTCTAGGGAACAAATAGAAAGGAGAAGTTAGTTTTGAAAATGGTTTTGTAGGACCAGGAGGAGCCAAAGCACAAGACTGTGAGAGAAGAGAGTAGGAGTTAGCGGTCCTGAGAGCCAGGAGAGTGTGTCTGGGGGAAAGAGGCTGGGGCCCAGTGCAGCAGAGCGTAGGGAAGTTAGAAGCTCGTGGGAGGAGAGGTGGCTCAGTGGTCCAGGGCTTGCCTTGTTTACTTGAGTTCACACACCCCCGGGAACAGACAACAACACGTTATCCTCATTTTATGGAGGAGTTGGGAGAAAGATTAAGGGACCCAAAGAGAACAGAGACTCCCCAGGAAGGCCAACAGAGTCAACTAACCTGGCCCTTGTGGGGATCCCAGAGACTGAATCACCAACGAAAGAGCTAGCAGGTGCTGGACCTAGGCCCCCTGCACATATAGCAGATGAGCAGCTTGGTCTCCATGTGGGTCTCCATCAACTGGAGCAGAAGCTGTCCCTGAGACTGTTGCCTGCCTGCCTGCCTGTCTATGGATGCTGAGCCCCTAAATGGACAGCCTTGTCTGGCTTCAGTGGGAGAGGATGTGCCTAGTCCTGAACATCTTCTGTGTGGGGTGGGGGTCTGAGTGATTGGGATGGGGTGGGTGTTTGACACCCAGAGGGAGGGCTTCCCTTTCTAAGGTAAAGGGGGGGGGCTTACATGAGGTCTGGGAGGAGAGGACAGGCTGATATTGGTTTGTAAAGTGAATAAGTGAATAAATTTAATAAAAACGTTATCCTCTGACCTCTCTGCACACACACCACCCAGCACATCACACATGCATACTAATAACACATGGGACAAACAGGAAGTGACGTGAGGAAACAGCCACCTGGCCTGAAAAACAGAAGTCACACTCTTTTGAAGCATGACCCTGGGAGAAGAGTCCTTGGGGACCTCAAGGGCTGAGAACCCTATTTTATGTTCTCTCCACACTCGCTTGACAGAGCCACAGGAATGAGAGAGCGGGGCGTCTTGCTCATTTCTGGATCCAGTGTGGACATGGCACAGTGTATTTGTTACACTGAGTTGACCGTTGCGTTAGCCAGCAGTGAGTGTGGCTGCACACATTTAACTGGGTCCTCTCGGCTATAAAATCTTTTTGTCAATACAGTAAGAAGTTTAATTGGTTGCTTGTATTTTTGTTTAGTAAATGTCTTTAGGGTTTCTATTGTTCTAATAAAACACCATGACCAAAGGTAACTTGGGAAAGAAAGGGTTTATTTCACCTTACAGCTTAAAAATCCATCACCCAGGGATGTCAGGGCAGGAGCTGATGCAGAGGCCATGGAGGGGTGCTGCTTACTAACTTGCTCCCCCTTGATCATGCTTGATCAACTTGCTTTCTTATTGCACCCAGGGCCACCAGCCCAGGCAGGTTGGCACTGCCCAAGTGAGCCGGGCCCTCCCACATCTATCATCAATGAAGAAAATGCACCGAGGTCTTGCCCACAGACCAATATGGTAGGGTCAGTTTTTCAATTGAGTTTCACTCCTCCAAAACGACTCCAGCTTGTGTCAAGTTGACATAAAACCAGCTGGTATAGCAAGCATTCGTTAAATGAGACGGCTAAACTGGAATTCCATCAGTGAACTTACCCAGAATTTTTTAGGTACCTACCCAGCGTTAAGCACACTACACATGCTGTCTATAGCTGCTTCAAGCTTTTGGCTATCATCACGTGTGTACTGTCTACATTCCGGCCTGTTTAATAGATAGAAGAGCAAAGGGCCTAGGGCAGGGAAGGGTGATGTTAAGAAAAAAAAAAAAAAAGGAGGAACCCACTTCTCCCTGGCATTCTTTGGGAAAAGTGTCAAAGATTTGCTAAGTTCTTAAATCTTCCTCCTGATGCTCATTTCTTATACATAAGCAAAGGCAGTTACCAGCTGGGCAATTAGATGTCATGATCATGTTTGGCTGGAATCACTCCCTGCTCATCCTTGCACAAGGTGGGAAACCCGTCCCCACACAGACACCCTACCCCCACCCCCACCCCCATGTGCTTGGAGAAAACTACGGCTAACATGTCACCACTCCTTGTCTCCCTGTTTCCAGCATCCCACCAAGAGTGCCCGCCCAGGGGCTCAGGTTTTGACCATGTATGGACACAAGCTAAGCTCCTAGCTGGCAGGTCATCACTCCTCACCTAAACACTGTAAAACCCCCTTGCTTTAGCCTGGGTGTGGGACTTTACTGACCTCCATCTGTGAGATTGGTGAACCTACCTGACAGCTGCCTCCTAATAAATCCATCTTTATCTACTTTTATTCTGGTCTAATCTGGTTTATATCTGTGTCACCGAGGGAGAGAAAATGCCTATCAACCAAGACCAGCCCCTGTTGGGCTCCCCCTTCTGCCTTGGCTGTCTCAGATAGCCAGCTGACAACCATACGGCAGTACCAGCCACAGGTTCTTATGCACCTCTATAGCAACCTTAGTAAATTATACAACTATTGCAACCCATGGCTTGCCTCTTGAAGGTGAAGGGTTGTTTCACACAATCCATAGCGGACTGCTGGCTGTCACAAGCCTTGTTGAACTCTAGGTAACTTTGCAACCATTTCTGCTCAGGTCAGATGGAGAACACTCCCACCTGGTGACCCAGCAGGGGGATTGTGTGAGCAATGCTAAAGGGATGCTTTGATTGGTAAAAACACAAATCTTTATTTGCATGCAAAGATTTCTGTGATTGGCACAGACATCCTTCTCTGACTATATAAACTGACTGTTTGGCTCACTCAGTGAAAGGACTCCTCTCCTACAGTGTGCTGCCTCTCTTGGTGTCCCAGCATTAGGCCCAGTGAAAGGCTGTTCTTAGTGGTTTTGAATTGTTTATTCTTAGTGGTTCAGGCTGATCTGGGAACAGAAGAAAGCAACGGTAGAGACAGAGCAGCAACAGCAGGCAAAGCTGATGGTTTGCACGCTGAGCTGCAGAGGCAGTGGGCCGACCGGCTGCTGGGCAGCTAAAGGAGAAGCCACTGGACGTTTGGAATGATGGCCGCTGGCACAGGAACAGGGAGTGGGGAGCAAGGCTGGAGAAAGAAACTATAGATGTCTGAAAAGAGAAACCATCAGCCCTGGCTAATGGAAGACTTCCAGGGAGCTGTCAGCCTTTAGGGCCAAGGGTCTCAAACACCCTAGGTTCAGGAGCTGAAGTACTGGCTGCCATCAAGGATGAGTGAGGAGTCCTGACCTCCTGTGTCTAATAAGAGTCGTAACACTGTAGAGCACAGAGTCCTGGTACCCAGGCTATGTAAGAGCTATCTATATGCATAGCTGAGGTCCTGTTACCTGAGACCTGAGTGGGAGCTGTACCACTAGAGGGGACCACCTGCTGCCTGCTCTCCTCTCTCTGGGGGCACTACCAGCTGTGGCTGTTAACACCTAGAGATATCAAACCTCCCAAAGAGGAGTGCTTCAACAGAGGGAGCACTCCCAGAGGTCTAGGGTGCTCTGATGTGCTTGGTGCCACTATGCTTGCCACTGAGAGGGGAAGGGACCAAGTGGCATGAGTAGGTTGGGGGCAGGGCTGCCAAGCTGCAACTGCAACAGGCACAGAGCAGGGCTCACTGACATTTAACAAGCAGCCTGTATCTGCTTCACAGCTGAGTGACCCTAGGCAGTGAGGTGTGGTCCTCAAGTCCATCCAGCCACAGGGAAGACACTCCATTCTCCCGACATTTAGGGTTTGTAGCTCAAGGCTTCTGTTAGGGTTGAACAGGTCTTTAGGTGTTTGCTGAATGATCCTTTTGGTCTTCTACAAGGGACCGTGAAACTAGGTAGGTGTTGGCAGTTGTTGCTGTGTTAGATAAAGGGGGGGGGGTCAGAACCTGGCAAGACCAGGAGTGAAGGCCAGAGCCAGACTTCCAGGATTGCAACGTGAGAATGAAGGAACCTGCTGGAGAGATGCCTCGGTGGTTAAGAGTACTTGTTACTCTTGCAGAGGACCTCGGTTTGGTTCCCAGCACTACATAGGAGGCTGGGTGTGTCTGATGTCCTCTCTGGCCTCCATGGTCACCTGCTCACACACAATACACACTTATACATTCAAACACACACACAAACACACACGCAGAGTGAGAGAGAGAGAGAGAGAGAGAGAGAGAGAATAAAAATAAATCTCAAAAAAAGGAATATTGTAAATTATATGAATTGGAGCTTTTTACTTGGGAAGCTGAGACACTCAGGACTTGGGTAGCTGAGGCATAGTAACTACCTATGAATTTGAGGCCAGCTTGAGCTACAAAGTAAGACTGTCTCACCCTCACCCCCCCCTTCTCAGAAGTTTGTTATTCCTTTCCTAGATGAAATAACTTCTCCATCACCACTCTCTCCCTATCCTTACTGACAGAAGGTATACTCATTACCTCAGTTTACTAATCTGTAAAAGAGAGAGAGAAAAAAATGTTTCCGTTGGAGGATTCCTTGAAGGATCAAGACATAAGTGCACGGAGAGCTTGGTAACACAAAGGCCTCTTTGGACATTTATTGACATTATAAACCGCAAGGCCCAGTTTCTTCTCCCCTTACTGGGCGCTCCGATTGGCCCTTGTGCCAGGCTGCACTCAGGCACTCCACTTTTCTGCCCGGAACAAAGAGAGGAAGTGCGAGACTATTGCTTGCCTCTCTAGCAGGAGGTTGAGCCCAGCTGATTCTTCCCTCCACCTCTCCCTGCACCCAGAACTACAACTCCCAGCGTCGCCCGCGGAGGCAGCAGGAGCTGCGCATGCGTCGAACGCGCCACGCCTGGTCTTAGGCAGTAGACCAGAGTGGGTCTCGCTTAGTGGAGCGGGCGCTTCTTGGAGCTCGCGCCTCCTGCGGCGTCGTGGTCCCTGGTGAGCCGCAGCGGGCCAGTGCCATGATCCGACAAGACCTCTCCACGTCCTACCAGGAGGTGCGGACAGGGTGGGCACGGAGGGCGGGCAGGGCGTCGCGACCCCCGCGCAGGTGGATGGCTGGTACTCGGTGGCATGCGGGCTCTGCAGCAGGTGGAGCTGCTGCGTGGTCCCGGCACGAGGCGATGACAAGGGACCCTGGAGTCTGGCTATAGGGAAAGCGCTTGGTCAGCTGCTCCTCGGCGGCTCCTTGTCGCCACTACGGCCCCACGACCCCTGCAGCCCTTTGTCTGTCGCCCGAGCCTCCGGCTTCCCCTCGCAGAGCCGCGCTGGCTCCGGGCCCCTTCTGCTCCTCTCGTGTGAGGCTGTCCCGGCCCTGCCCTGCCTGGGTGTCTTCCCGCGGCGCCGCATCCTTAGTCGTCAGCTACCACTGTCCAGGTTTGCTCGAGGCCGTGCAGCCGCCCCATACCGTTAGACCTTGTCCAACCGGAGCAGCCCAAGCTCAGCAGCTCGTCTTGATGGCCGTCTCCACGGAGGCCCTGGCCACACTGGAAACTCACTGTCTCCAAACGAGTTAGCAGCGCGCCGAACTCAGCGCCCTAGGGTCACTAATGACTCCGGGTGAATACCAGGATGCAGACAGCTCTTGCTTCTGCGGAGTTTTGGGGTACTAGCTTCAGAGAACCGCAGCTTAGCAGAGCTTATAAGATAACGTATTGAAATACAGGCTGCTGTCCTGTTCGCAGAGCAAGGCCACAAGTGGATTCAGGTGCTCACTGCAGTCTAATGGTAGAAAGCTCTAGAGAGGCCCCGCCCCTTTTGCCTTCTTCAGGTCTGTTTTGAAGTCCCAAGAAGACTGCCTGCATCTTTCCTGCCTGGGTTGCTTTGAGAGCGGACCCGACTGACTTAGGTGTCTACTGAGGTTCCGATCCAGAAAGGAGCATTCTGAGAAGTTTGGCCTGGGACAGGCAAAGGCTTGTGATGGCTGCTGAATATCAGGAAGGGGGTTGGAGGGACAGGAATTGCCACTATACCTGCGTCGGGGTGACTTGAGTCAGCTCAAGAATCTGAGAATCTCCTGTCTTCCTGGGACCACTGTCTCTCTTGAGATTTTTTTTGTTTTGTTTTTTCATAGATTATCTTGGATAAATGTGAAAGATCTCTGAGGGCTAGGGGTGTTTGTACCTGAGATGGTTCAGTACTTGCTTAGTGCTAGGAGGTGGGGGCAGAAGGGTCAGAAATTCGAGGTCCTTCTCCACTATAGTGAGTTTGAAGCCAGCCTGGCTTACATGATGCCCTGTCTCAGAGTGGGGAAAAAGTACCTTTTAACTTTATGTGATGTCCCTGTGAGGCTGGGTGGAACCCCTCCAAACTGACTTCACCTGCCTTCTTCCTAAAACGATGGGATACTTATCCTGATCTTTGCTTTCTCAGTGGCAAAATTTTCCCCATCTGACAGATCATATGAGAATCCTGCTGAGCTGAGATGGTGGTTGCCTGGTACCTGGACAGCTGTCGCCTTCTGCTCTGCCATTTGGACCCACATCTGTGGGCTTTAGTGTCCCACGGAGCTCTGACACCAGTTTTGCTGTTCTCAGTTTTTTTTTCTCTGAGCAGACTCTAAGCCACGTTTCCTCTTCCTCTGGGAAGTGGTTAAGACCACGGGCTTTGGCATGAGACCAAGGTGGCGTGACTCCTGCTTCATGTAATTGACTCTGTCGCTTTGGGAGGTGTTGAGGGGTGGCTCCAGTACCTGTCTTGTTTGGAATTGGAAATAGAGTCATGTCAGGTGTGTGACACAGTGATGAAGTTGTGAGCGATGTGAGTGTCCTTAAAGATGCGCCTCCAGGAGAGTGCACACTGCAGGGGGCCTTGTGAAAACGAGGGCAGAGATTAGACATCAGACACAGCTACAGATAGCCCTGAGAATGGCAGGGGGTCACCAGAAGCTAGGAGACAGGCTGGGAATACAAGTCTCCCTGCAGCTCAGCAAGCCAGCCCTGCTAAATCCTTCCCTGTAGTTTCCCAGGCTCCGGCTGTGAGAGAAGACAGTGGAATCGGTCTCACACGTCCTGTGTCATGTGGCTTTTGTGCGTGTGTGACAGTTATGTGGATGGCAGCTTCTGCTTTTTTACCCTGGAAAAGGCAAGGCCAGTCCAGCTAAACCGTTCACGCCTTCTCCTTCAGCTCAGCGAGGAGTTGGAGCAGGTGGTTGAGAACTCAGAGCAGGCGGACGAACGAGACAAAGAGCTGGTCCAAGTTCAAGGTCCAGGTGTCGTGCCAGGTAAGTGGGTTTAGGGTGCAGGAAACTGGCTGTGTGCTGCTACAGCTGGAAGCCCAGTCCAGGCACCTTGCCAGCAGAGGGAGGGGACATCTCTTTTCCTCCACACTTGTACCCTGGCTTGGGTCTCAAGGTCTGCCCCAGTTCTAAAGCACTACATATTTAATCAGCCTCCAGCTGGAGGATGTGCCTTTTCAAGGTCTGAGTTCTTGATAGTGGGTTTGGAACCAGTTCCTGAAGCTCGACCATTCTTTTTCCTTAAGGAAGTGCTGGCTGGCATGTCTCAGATTCCTGTGGGAGAATCCTCCTGTCAGGCCTTTCCAGCTCTGCTGCCTGGTGGGTGGGCTCACCCAGGCTGGTTCCCTGCTTCATACTCAGGCTCACGCCCCAGTGGCTTCCTTGAGCTGGGCATATACATCCTACGTGTCCATCTGCCCAGCACCTTTGCTATTTTATTCCTGTTTCTGAAGCTCTCAACCCTGTTTGTTTGTTGTTTGTTTGTTTGGTTTTGGTTTTTCAAGATAAGGTTTCTCTGTGTAGCCCTGGCTGTCCTGGAACTAACTCTGTAGACCAGGCTGGCCTCAAACTCAGAAATCCACCTGCCTCTGCCTCTCAAGCGCTGAGATTAAAGGTGTGCGCCACCACTGCCTGGCTCAACCCCGTTTTTAAAAGACATTTTTTATTTCTGTATGTGTGTGTGGGTGCATGCCCCGTATGCGAGGATGCTCACAGAAGCTAGAGGTGGCATCGGATTCCCAGGAGCCGGACTGGAGAGTGTTGTAAGCACCTGACATGGATGGAGGCTGGGAGCCAGACATGGATCCACGTTTGTTTTGTGTGAAAGAGGGAGTGGGCACGGTGGAGGTCAGGGGACAGCTTGTGGGAGTCAGATCTCTTTCTACTTGTGTGGGTCCCAGGAATCAAACTCAGGCTGTGGGGCTTTGCAAGTGTCTTTGCCCCAAGCCATCTTACTGGTTCCTGCTCTTTGGGGGAGCTGGGGCCGGCAGGTGGCTAAGTAAGTCGGTCAGCAAGTGGACAGGGCCCCAGCCTGGCTCCAGCTCTCTGGGGGAAACTGGAGAGGTACGATCTGATCTTTTAGTTCCTCTGTCTTGAGCAGACAGGAAGTCCTGGGATCCTTCCCACGGCCCACTACCTAGAGGAGACCTCGGAGATGACAGAACAGCTAGCTCGTCTCTCCCACGGCTCTTCCAACCGCCACATTTAATTCTCAAAAGAACTCTGCAGAGCGACGTCTTCATTGTCTAGATGTCTGCAGACTCAGGCTCGGTGAAGCATGGAGACTGACTTAGGCACTCTGACCCCCAGTCCACCTACCGACTGGTGGCTTTTAAAAAAATCATTTATTTATCTTGTATGAAGGAGGAAGTGTGAGCACGGTGGAGGTCAGGGGACGACTTGTGGGAGTCAGATCTCCTTCCACTGTCTGGGTTCCAGGAATTGAACTCAGGCTGCGGGGCTTGCAAGTGCCTTGGCCCACGAAGCTATCTTACTGGTCTGGCTTATTTTTAAGCTGACACATAACTGTCCGTATTTGTGGGTTTCACTGTGGTGTTTCAGTACATGTGTACGTTCCATGAGGATTCCATCATGGAAGTTAGTGTATAATATCATACGCTTATCACTTTGTGGTAAGACCATTAAAAAGCTCTTCTGGTTATTTTGAAATATGTGATATATCCCTGCTAACTGGATGTCCCTGCTGTGCAGTAGTGCCTCAGGACACAGTGCTCCTGTTAGCTGCCTTCGTTCCCTTGGTTCACCTCTCTCACGCTCCCCTCCCTGTTTCTGGCACCCACTGTTCTCTGGCAACGTCAGCTGTTTTAGAGTCCGTGTGAGTGAGTAAGCTCATGTGATGTCTTTCTGGGCCAGTATCAGTTCTTAGGTCCAGCCACATCACAGATAAAAAGACTCAAGCTTTCCTTTTACAGAATGTCTTATGTAGCCCAGGCTGGTCTTGAACTCACTGAGGACGACTTGGAACTTGTAATCCTACCCTCACTGAGAATTCGGTTGGAGGGTAGTCTACATAAAGATGTACTGTCTCCCCTGTTGTTTTCTTCTGAGTTGATGTTTACTCCAGGACACGGGGAGCCAACCCCGTGCCAGTGGACTTCTAGATTGTTATCTTGTAATCGATCTACTCCAAACCCTGGTCTGCAAGATGAGAGTGGCCCAGTTTCTCCTTACTCTTCTGACCCTTCCCAACGGTTTAGGATCGGCACCAGGAGGTATCTTACCTGATGTCGTTTTTAAACTTGTGAGCTTCTAGACTTGGTTTGCCATAATTGGGTCTCCTGTGCCACTCTGGATCCATGGCACTCCTGTCTCTCTCTACCTTTTTCTCACTGGCCTGTCTCTCACTGTGTGAGAGGCTAGCTGGCCAGCAAGCGCGCCTCCCACCCCCACCCCTAGAGATGCCATCTCAACCATCCCAGCTCTGGGATTACAAGCATGACCCAGCAGACATGGCTTTTTTACATTTACAGTCCCCGGGATTGAGCTCCGATCCTCATGCCCTGAACCTTTAGGTTGGTTCACATTCCTGGCTTTTGTGAATGAGGCTACAGTAAATGCCGGGTGCTGACTCTTTGACTAGGTGATTTTGTCTTCTCTGGGTACAGTACACTGGCATATAGCTGAATCACATAATGTTTCTCTTCTTTCTTCTTGGCTGGCTTCCTTCCTTCCTCCTTCCTTCCTTCCTTCCTTCCTTCCTTCCCTCCCTCCCTCCCTCCCTCCCTCCCTCCTTCCCTCCTTCCTTCCTTCCTTCCTTCCTTCCTT